GGATGGATTCGCTCTCGCTTGTCTATCGCCCTCGCGCGTGCGACTAGCTTCTGTCTGCGTGGGGGAGGGAGGGGAGGGTTTGCGGGACTGGGGTGTGCTGATGGGGCGGGGATTGATCCCTCCTCCCCTTGAGCCTGTTTGAGTCTGCGTGCTGATGGGACTGTATTTGTATGAGTATCACGGACACACAGACGAGTGTTACGGTTAATGACAGTTTCCCCCCCTTTCGGCACTATCGGGCCGTTCTTCTGCTCCAAGCGCCTGACACGCACACGAGGAGACAGACAGACAGACAGACAAGCTAGCTCAGTCGATGGAGCATCATCCCCCTTGCTGACTGGACGTAAGCGACGCCGCGCTCCTCTATCAGTCTGTCCCGCTCATCCATTCGGCGTCGTAGCGCAATCGCGCCGCACTTGATGACGAACTCCTTCCTTCGGTCCGCCTTGATTGTCTGCGCGAGTGTACAGGACAGGTATGTACTCACTCACTGGACGGCTCGCTCAGTGAGCAGCGCGTGCTTACTCCGTCTTCGTTGAGCATCTCGTTGAAGTGCCTGAGGGACTCCACGTCGACATCCGCGCCGAGGGAACAGGGGAGCTCTTTCTGGATCTCCCGCAGGGCACAACTGAATCGTCTCAACATCGCCCGATTTTCCTCTGTATTGTACGGGTTCGGTGCGCTCCAGATGCCTCCCATTCTGGTGCTGAGCAACGGAACTAGGAAGGGGGTTCGAGCAAATGGGAGGTTTTTGGGGGGCGATGGAATAATGGGACTGGGTCCAGCTGAAATACTCCGGTCGGTATTCTCCCTTAGAAAGGAGCCGTATGATGTATGCCTTAGATCTGTGGCTGCCATGTGATGAGGGTCTAGAGGTCAGCAAAAGACAAGACCGCAGGGCAATGGAAGCGTGCGGAGCAGTGTCCAAAAAGAGATGGACAGAGTGGTGCGACAAACAGGAGACGAGAAGTAGAAGAGCATAATATAAGACACAGCGCTCACAAGTATGCAGGGCAGTCGACAGACAATTCCTGCTGTGTGGCATTCTTGGACAGACCCCAAGGGAGCAAGTCACAGCCCGGAGCAAGGGAGAAGTCAAGACGGATTGCGATCTGCCACTTCTAAGCTCGCAGACGACTCGAAAAAATGGCCTTTCGGAAGCCTTCCGAGTCCACCGTGGACACATCGACGCCCTCTGACAGACCAAGATTGGAATCGCTCGACAAATGGTAGCTCCTATGAGCTGGCGAGATGCACTGGCTCGGCAGCTGCGCTGTGTCTTTTGTGCGTGCGTGTATGCAGGCGCAGTGACGACGAGTTGCTGGGTTCCGATGCGGATCACATGGCGAGAGCCACGACCAAGGGCTCATTCAGGTATGAGTGGACAAAACATCAGCACAGAAAAATGACATTGTCTCTCCTTGTCTGCGTCATGCAGGAAGCCGAAGGCCAAGTTGCGTATCTGTGTTGCGGGTGGCGGCAATGGCGGCCATGTCATGGCTGGCCTGTTTGCCAGCAAAGGACATGGTAGGCATAAACAGAAATAGATGGGCATCCGTCTGATAGGGTGATTCGCGTGTGTTCGGTCGTGTCTGCAGACGTATCGCTGCTTGTGTCGGCAGCGCCACACGTGGACAAGGTACATAGACACACACACACACACACACAGAGAGAGAGAGAGAGAGGACTGCACCACAATGCGACGACTGTATGTGTGTGTGATGTGCCTTTACAGTGGTTGAGTGGGATAGAGTCCGGTGGTGTGACAGTGCATTACGTCGAGGGCGACCGCAAAGTCAAAGGCACACCGACCACCGCCACACACAACCCTGCTGACGTAAGCACCACACACATGTGTGTGTCAATCCATGTGTATCTGTGTGTGTGTGTTTAGGTGGTGCCCTATGTCGATTTGGTGATCATCGTGATCCCCGCCAAGTACCACCAGCCCATGATCGAAGCCATGGCACCGCACTTCAGGTATGCTGTACAACCGTAGGCACACCAGACACTTTCCCTCCGTACTCATCTTATTGGGTCAGGCCTGGTCAGTGGGTGTGTGCGGTAGAGGGCGCCTGGTGGGGCGTCCCGCCGTCGGTCTTCGGACCAAACGCACAGCAACTCGTCTTCGCCGAGATCCAGTGTTTGCCCTGGGCGTGCAGGGCCACCGAGTCAGCTGACCGAAGGACCGATCCACACATGAATCGACGTCCATGCCGTATTTTGAGTGTGTGTGTGTCTGTGTGTGTGTGTGTGTAGGTACGGTCGTTGTGTGGAGGTGTTAGAGGAGAAGGATGGGGTGGAGATCGCCGTGTCGCCGTCGAGCGAGGGGCGGGAGGTCGCCCGCATACTCCAGCAACTCATGGACATACCCTTCGAACCACACGGTGGGCACATGGGCAGGCTGACACACGGAGGGAGGGAGGGAGGGAGGGAGGGCTGACACACACACACGCACGTTGAGTGTGTCCACGTGTTGTGTGCGGTGTCCCCTTGGTGGCTGGCTGCAGGCTCGTTGCTGGCGATGGCGTTGAGCGCTCCATGCAACTGGGTCCATCCCGCCGTCATGTACGGACACTTCGGTACGCAAACAGACACACACAGACACACGCAGAGAGACAAACATCATGGCCATGACCCCTCCCTCTGTGTGTGCATAGCCGAATGGGACGGCAAGCCATTCGCCCGCTCCAAGGTGCCGCTTTTCTACAAAGACATCACCCAAGACACCGCTGACATGCTCGAGCGACTCGACGATGAGTACCAACAGCTCAGACACGCACTCGAACAGGTACGGTGCAGCACAATCGTGTGAGAATGACAATGATGCATACGTTGTCACTGACAGCGCTGCCCGTTGTTGGATCTGTCGGCCATCAAAACGACTCGCGAGTCGTCGATCGAGTACTACCACGGCAAGATAACTGACGAGAGCACCACGCTGTCGTGCATCAAGACCAACCCAGGTGGCTGTGGGGGAGGGGGAGACATAAGGGCAGTGTGCTCATTTATATATTGTGTGTCTCCATGTGCTTCATGTGTGTGTAGGTTACGACACGCTGACATCTCCTGTGGTTGATGTGGGCGACGGAATGGTCGTGCCCAACTTTGACTACAGGTCAGCCACCCGCCCGCACAGAGACACACGACGGCCTTGTGTGTTGTGTGAGCGTCTAACTCAATCCACATCTGTCTGTGTACAGGTATCTGAACAGCGATCTTCCCTATGGGCTGGTGGTCACCCGTGGCGTCGCACAACTCGTCGGCGTCAGCATGCCCACAGTCGATTTCCTCATCCGATGGGGCCAAGGGAAGCTCGGCAAAGAGTGGCTGGTCGGCGACAAGGTAAGTAACCGACCTCACACAGCAGAGACCTTCACATACACCAGACAGACTTCCTTCATTTCTTTCTTGCTGCCCGCCCCTCAGCTGTGTGGTCGCGACCTGTGCGAGACGCGCGCGCCCCAGGCTTTCGGCTGCCGCTCGTTCGACGATCTGCTGCAGATGTGCGTGCCTGACATACACAGCAGGATGGGCACGCTCGGGGAGAGGCGCATGAGTGAGGTTATCGAGGACGACCAGCCGTGTGTGTGCTCCGTGTGATTGATATATGTATACACATGGATGGTGCGGTGTCTGGGCCGACTCTAGTGCGCGTCGGGTCGGGTCGGGTCGGGTCGGGTCGGGGGAGATGATGACATTGTGAGTATTTTTTGGTGCGTCATTTGGTGTGACGCGCACTTGGATGGTGCATACCCGATTTGTGCAGCCCATTAGCTGTCTTTACTTCCGTTCTGTCCGTACAAGTAAGTGCACGTCAGTTGTGTACATGGAGATGTCGATGGACTATTTGTCGTTCGGGGAGATGCCTGAGTGGCGCCTGACGGGACTACCCACATCCCACAGCCACACAACCGGTTGGTATTTGTTGTCCGTGTACATTGCTGTGCTGCACCGTGCATCTCCGTGCACTCACATACAGACACACAGACACACAAACAGAGACGTCGCATGCCTGCATGGGCGGGTGCCTAGATCTGTAGATCTATGTATGAGGTGAGTGGCATCACGTGATATGGCTGCAGATGTTGACCGAAGCCGATGACATTGTACAGTCCAGACCGCGTAAGTGGGTCACCGCATAAGCGGGTCAGACCCATCGCCACACCACGTGCCACACCATCGTCACATGATTCATCGCCTCTTTGGGGGCCCCCAAAGACTGACAGTGGGCGTCTTTGGGGGCCGCGGAGGTTTGTGATTTCGAGCACACAGACCTTCGTCGTGTGCTCTCGTTCGTCAAGCGAACACGTCGACAGCGAGCGAGATGTCAGCAGCAAGCGACAATGCATCAGCAGCGGCCTCAGGGCCACACGAGGGAGGCGGCTCAGCCCGGATAGCAGCTGCCCAGCCCCCGTCCACCTTTGCCGTCATTACGGCCGCCGGCACCCACACCCTCTTCGGGAAGGTGAAGGATTCCGGCAACAGCAGCGTGTTCTCGGGCCATTTCGAGGGCAAGGAGGCGGCATTCAAACTTGTTTTCATCAGCCGCGACGGCGATGGGGGCCTCGAGAGGCAGTGCCAGCAGGAGGTGCGGTCGCTCACGGCCGAGGTGCGCCACCATGACCGGCTGCAGCAGCTGCTTGAGGGTATGGGAGAGGCTGGGGAGGGTACGACGCTGCTGCAGAGGGGGTTCGTGCCCATCTGGGGGAAACACACGAACGCCGACGAGCCAGCCATTCTGCAGGAGACGAGGGGCGAGGAGGTGCTCGAGAAACAGTGCATCTTCATTGCCATGCCTTTCCTGCAGAGTAAAAAGGCTGACATGCATACATCGAGGGAGAAAGTCATGTGATTTCCTCTGTGTGTCTTCCTTCTCCTTGCAGTCGGGCTGCAGTACATCGATGTCTTTGATTTCGCGAAGCAGCACAACACCAAAGACATCGCCCGGCGGCATTGCTCGGCCAGCAGCATCCAGCCTGAGGCCGTGACTGAGGACTTGTCGATGGCCGTTCGAGGGGCCGGACTATACACACTCCCCCACATGGCGTGTGTGGCCGGGTCCCTCCAGGCCATCGACAACCTCAACAAGGACATCCTCCTCGACCAGGACGCCCTCGAGGACCCCGGCCTCTTCCGGTCTGTCTGCCCTCCTCCCCCCCCCACCCCATGGCCAGCAGCACCAACAACAGCACTACCGCCCGCCGCCCCTTCCTTCTCAAGTGCGATGAGCACGTCATCGCTCTTGACATCGCCAACGCCGTCAGGGGCCCGGACTGTGAAGAGGAGCGGCAGCGGCTGGGGGGTGATGCGCACGTGCCTTTGGACGTCAAAGAGAGGGAGGCGCGCGGCCACGTACCGCAATTCACGCCCTACGCACTCCCGCCAGAGATAGCCGTCCTGTCGATGTCCGTCCTCGACCAAGACCCGCCATCGTGGCAGCGAAGGTTCGGCATCCCTGACGGTGATCCCAAGGCCGAGAGGATGCGCAAGGCCGCCAGCGTCCTGAAGGAGCAGCTCCGGCAGAGGGGGGTGGTGTATGTGGGGGAGGATGGGAAGGAGTACCTGCGGGTGGGAGAGGGGGCTGCCGTGTATGGCGTCGGGCTGCTGCTGCGGCAGATCATCACCGGCGACACCTGCGCCATGACGTCGTGGGCGCTGGACCACCACGAGGCCGCGGCAGACGAGCAGGATGCCACCAAGGCGTCCTATCGGCGAGACCTGGAGTGGGCTCTCCGCTGGGGCGAGCGGCTGGCAGCTATGAGAGACACTCACGGCGCCTTCCACAGTGTCGAGGATGGGGAGACGCCCATCCACAAGCGCCAGGAGCCCGAGCTGCTGTTCGTCCGCTCCCTCATCGCGGCGATCGAAGAGATTGCCGTTGCCTGCCTCGCTCCACTGCCATCGGACAGACCGCCTCTTGCCACCGTCATGGCGAAGCTGTGTGAGCTGGAAAAGCGGCTGGTCGACGGTGTGAGCGACGGCCAAGACCAAGAGCAGCAGCAGCAGCAGCAGCAGCAGGAGGAGGCAGCCGACGGGCCTCAGACGACACCAGCAGCACCAGCATCGGTGGCCAGCAGGGCCGGGGCGGCGAGGGAGGATGACGGGCAGGGCCAGCAGCATACGAGGGCGGTGGCAGCGGTGCCTGTGTTCACGCCCGACCCCATCACGTCAACCCAGCCGCGTGTTGAGCCCAGCACTGCCCAGCAGCCTGCCGGCATGACGGCCAACAAGAAGGAAAAGGCGTCGAGAGAGGACGAGAGACCCATCACCTCCCTCCCCCCACCCGACTCAGCCCGTCAGGTGCGCCCCCCACAGCCGGTCCAGCGCGGTCCGCCCATCTTCCCCATCACCCCACCATCGCACTACTATGGAGAGCTGCAGTGGAGCAGCAACACATTCAGCATCCACCTCCCTCACGGCGGCCTTGTGCAGCTGAAGTGGGGATGGGTGAATGAGTGCGAGACACAATTCGAGCGGGGCGGGAGGTGGGTGAGGGGGCGTTGGCTGTATGTGCCGGAGGGGCTTGCGAGGTTTCATGGGTTCATGACGGTGCAAGGGTGGCTGTGGTTGGGGGAGACGAGTAGTGGTGGGTGTTGTTTGTTTGGTTGAGGGTGAGTGAGTGAGAGGCGGACCTAGTGTATGTGCGTGTCTGTAGTGTATGTGCGTGTCTGAGGGGAGCATAAGTTGTCGGGCGCTTCGGTGCCATTGATTGAGGGAGAAGACTGTAGCTTTCATTCTTGCAGACGTGTTCATGCCCCGACTTGTGCGTGTCTCGTGTGTGAAAGACATCTAAAACCCACCCCACCGGAAGCACCTGTCCATCAGCTGACTGTGTGACCAGCCAGTTGAAACAGCACGGCACATCCATGACGTCGACAAAGCGATATCCATTGACTGTCTGTGTGCATGTGCTGGCTAATGATTGTGTCGTGTTTTCCGCTGCAAATCGCAGCTGCAATGGTCGCACACAGGGTGGCTGCCGTCTGCTTGTCCCCTCACCACAGGGTCGTCGGAGGTAGTGCCGACGACGAGGCCGCAACAACAACAGGGTTTGCAACCCTGATCGCGAAAGCAAAACGCCGCTTTCGAGGTCTTCTGCGCGTCTGAGGCTCCCGTTTGCTCTTGCGATCATTCCTTTCTCAAGTATTGACGCTTTCACCTCCTCGTGACTCGCATCGACTCATGGCTGATCGACTCGACGTGCTCAGCAAGGACGTCAAGATCACTGTCGACGGCGACCCGCGGACCATGACGGCAGACATGGACATGAAAGTCCGGCAGGGCAGCCCGGCGGCCGGCGTCGGGCAGCCCGGCGGCGGGGTCATCAGCGAGATCTCGGTGGCGCCCACGACTCTGGAGTACGTCAACGCCCACGGAAGGCCTCGTGTCGTGCCGGACGTCACCAACATCGGCGACTTCATGGCTGGGTGGCAGCTGGTGGACGGCGGCGACATCGTCATCAGTCCTGTAAGAATAGGTGGGAGAGAGTCGGGGAGAATGGTGAAGAGAGGATCTGCCGGGCGGTCAGTCCCGGATAAAGGATTAAGTCAATGCAACGTAAGGTCTGTGGATTTTGTGGAGAGTCCA